TTATCTCACGGGGCTGTTGTGGCCGTTCAAGGAGATCTAAATGCCAATACATGTCTCTTCTAGTATTTATTGTCTAATATATTATTTCTCTTTGGAGATATTAACGAAAGAGCCCAGGCTTTCCAGCCAGACTCTGGATTCAAAGATTGTTTTTCTTACTATTAAATAACATATTTTTTATGTTATTTAATCTATGAAACCACTTCTGTATTTTTTTTTTTACTAAAGTTACATTTATAGCTTGATAAGCAGCAGGCCCAGGTGAGAAGATAATTATGTGCCCTGAGCCTGCTGTGAATATGTCATTTAAACTTCCCAACATCCCTGTAGTGGGCAGATTTCATTACCTCACTTCACAGCGATTTTAATGTATGCAATACATCTTAGGGGAATGTGTGATTTCTCTTAGGCTTGGTAAAATATTTAGGGTATCTCAAGATCATCCCCACTTCGGATTTGAGAACAAGTAAAGCCATAAGTTGGGAAGAACTTACCGGATCCTATACCGTCACATAAATAAGATGGGAGCCCCCCTGTAGCTCTGAGGCTGGAATGAAACCGTGGAGCCTCTGCTGCTCGGGCCTGTATCGCACCATTTCACCTCGCCAGGTGCCGCTGGGCCTTTCTCTGCTGAGGGGTGGGGTGGACTGTGGTTACCTGTTCATCCTGTCCTCACTGGTGTGCCATCACCTGCCCCGTGACCGGCACAAGTATTAGCACAATTCTGAATACACTGAGAACCATTGAATTACACTTTTCAAATGATTGAGTTATATCAATAGTCATGTGTATATGCATAAATACATATGAATTAAAACAGCAAACAATTTCAAATTTTCTTTGTTTTGAAGATACATATCCCTAAAATGAGCAAAATTCCTTGAATGCAATGAAATTCTCATCAGCTGCTATGTGTGACTAGAATATATTTACGTAACTGATTCCAGATTTCAGGTACATCTCTAATAGGCTCTAGTTTACTGCTTTTTTTTCTGTTTTTGTTTGTTTTTGCACTTGCCTTGTCAACATGCAATATTTTTGATTGCTCATAATTTAAGAAAGGACAGCCAGCCATGTTCCTTGTTTTTAAACATTTTAAAAAACTTATTTATAAATATATATTTTTATTGATTTCAGAGAAGAAATGAGAGAGAGAGAGATCGATGATGAGAGAGAATCACTGATCGGCTGCCTCCTGCATGCTCTCCCACTGGGGATCGTGCCTGCAACCCAGGCATATGCCCTTGACCAGACTCGAACCCAGGACCTTTCAGTCTGCAGGTCAACATTCTATCCACTGAGCCAAACCAGCTAGGGCCTGAATATATAAATATATATTTTAATATATTTTATTGATTTTTCACAGAGAGGAAGAGAGGGGTAGAGAGAAACATCGACGAGAATCATTGATCAGCTGCCTCCTGCACATCCCCCACTGGGAATGTGCCCACAACCAAGGCACATGCCTCTGGAATCGAACCCAGGACCCTTCAGTCCGCAGGCCGATGCTCTATTCATTGAGCCAAACCGGTTTCGGCAGGGCCTGAATTCTTAATCGATATCTCTAGATTTCTTTGGTATCTTCTTAAAAGATGACAACCAATACTTAGGGCAATGTAGCTGAAGCCAGTTTGGCTCAGCGGTGGAGCGTCGGTCTGCGGACTGAAAGGTACCTTGGTTGCGGGCACATCCCCAATGGGGGGTGTGCAAGAGGCAGCTAGTTGATGACTCTCTCACATCGATTTTTCTCTCTCCCTTCCTCTCTGTACAAAATCAATAAAATATATTTTTAAAAAAATACTTAGGGCAATGTAATAAGGAAACTGAAAAATGATTTAATAGTGATTTATTTCATTGCATCTTTTAGGCAGTACCATCATTGCTTCCATTTTTTTTTACCATTTAAGTCTTGTTTGACATAGTTGGGAATAACTGATGAGTAATATGATAATTTCTATTATGAAATACTTTCTCAAGGTACAGAAAAACTAAGTTCACCAAGATCTTATAATGTATTTTAGATTATGCAAGAATCCAACTATTTTATATGATGATTGTAAGAAAGAATGAATTTATCCTAGTTTTTAAAGTAAATTTCTCCATTGTTCCTTGGAAGCCCACTAAAAAAGAAGAGTCACAAAATACTAATCCTTAAAAATAGAACTGCTTGGAAAGAAAACTAAAAACTGAATTTGGCTCCGGTGGCTTCTGATGGTGTGCCAGAGTTAAGTCTTTGTTCTGGCGCATTGCATGGCCCCGGGGCCAAGCTCAGGGCTCATGCTCTGAACTTGCCTGGCTGCAGGGGGCTAGTGGGGATGGGGAAGCAGTAGATTGGGAGCCAGGGACATTCCACAGAAGGACTAGTTAGACCAAAATATTAGGTGTAACTAGTAGAAATTTGGGTATATGGTGTCACCTTTTGCTTGTGTTCTTGTGAGCTTCGCTCACTAGGGACGTGAATAATGTCTCCATTCAAGGAGGCCCCTAAGGACAGGAACAAAGTTCTGTCAGATGGGATTTTCCTCAGTGGACATGATGTATCCTACTTTTATTTTTTATAGAGAATGCAGAATTATATATATATATATATATATATATATATATATATAGAGAGAGAGAGAGAGAGAGAGAGAGAGAGAGAGAGAGAGAGAGATATCAATCGTTTACAGAGGAAGAGAAAGGGATAGAGAGAAACATCGATCGGCTGCCTCTTGCACACCCCCTACTGGGGATGTGCCCGCAACCAAGGTACATGCCCTTGACCGTCCGCAGGCCAACAGTCTATTCACGGAGCCAAACCGCTTTTGGCTGCATCTCCTAAACAACTGCTTTGCTTCATTTGTATGTGCAACACCCGTATTCTCAGATGAGCAGAGGCTGGATGTGGCTGCATGGAGAGCAGGTTTTGAAGATAGCTGGATGCAGGCTGGAATCTTGGCTCTGCCACCACTTTTCAGCTCAGGGCAAGTTGTAAGCAAGTCACAACTGAGTCTGTTTCCTCATTTGTAAACGTGGTGGGGTAGGCACTAGAACCAACTCATAGGCATGGGAGGTAGAAAACAACAAATACTTAGATTTACTGTAGTCAATGGGAGGCCTTGTTCTGGGCACTGGGGGACACAGATGAAGCTGACGCCTTTCCTGCCTCAAAGGGCATCCCTTGGGTGTGTCGGGAGACAAAGGCCTGGCCATACGTCAGGCGGTAGAACTGGGGCAGATAAGGGACAGGAGTGGTAAACTCGGGGTGGAGGGTATCAGAGCAGACAGCGGGAAGGAGCATCAGCACATCATGAAAGGGCATAGAGAACACGAATGGTCATTGTGTGGAGAGTGGTGCAGTCTGCTTGGCACACTGGAAGTGCCCAGCCCAGGTGAGGGAGAGTGTGCCCAGGATTTGCCCCTAACATTTCCACTTGGGCATTTAACAGGACAGGCAAATAATATATTGCTTTCTTTGTCCTGGATGTTATCCCTGGGGTGGGGGCAGGCGGGCTCTGAGGAACTGGGCCTCCCCTATTCTCCCTTCCCCTCTGCCATTATCAGCCTGTCCAGATGGTCCCAGGCTCCCTAATCAGGGATAATCAGAAGGTAGGAGCTCAGCTGTGACCTGGGCCTTTGTGCTGCTGTAAAGGGCCAGCCCCAGCTGGAAAGATCTCCCAGACAGGGCCCTGGGGCTTTGGGAGGTGGGAGGGGCGTGGGGCTGGCCCTGTGCTGAAGGACTTGCAGGAGCCATGATAGATTTTTAAAAGGCAATCTGGGTGCAAATGAGGCGAGCCCCAGATGGGGTCTGTCTAGGTCCTCCATCCTCTGGGCCTTACAAACAGGCACACAACCTGCCTCACGATTCCCTTTGTGGCATCTTTCATTCCCTCATCACCCCTTCCTATCCAGCAGTTCTGTGTTGCTTTTTCTAGAGCCCAGGCTAACCCAGTGTACCCCCTGATGATGCTTGGGATGTTGGAGGTCCAGATGCAGCCTGGCTGGGTTCTCAAAGGCCTGTGCCTCTGGCACCCATCACCCAACTGCAAGCCGCGGACCCCAAAGTTATTTGGGTTTCTGTTTTGTTCCAGTTTCTTTCATGGGCCACCTCAGCCCTGGCTTCTGGCAGTGAGCCTGGATTGGAATCGGGTTTTAAGGCCTTTATCTCACAGAGCCTGAGCCCGAAAGCTTCTGCCTTCCTTGGGGTTTTACAGTTCTGTTGTTTCTGATCCTTGGACATGTTTGCTTACTTATACACCCATGTCTTCATCTATTTAGTTGTCTGGGCCCTAATTCTGTCTATCTCTGCTAGGTGTTTGAATTTGAAGGGGTTGTTTAGAAAGGGGGGGGGGGGGCTATCCTGACCAGAAATGTCTCATTGGTTCTGAAGCTTCAGGAAATACAGATATTAACAGTTCACTAAAAGTTAAGTGTGTTGATAATCTCAAGTAGAAGGACAGTGATTACCCCAGAGGACTATGGGAAGGGAATGGGTTTGGGAATAGACACCAGAGCCTACAATGGCATTTTTATCATTCTATTTCTTTTTTTGTTTTTATATAGACTAAAAAAAAAAAAAATTAATCGAATCTGCCACCTTTGGTGTATGGGACAACACTGCAACCAACTGAGCCACATGAGTCAGGGCTGTAACAGCTATTTCTTAAGCTGGGTGGTAGGAAGGAAGAAGTTGTATTATAAACAGCACAAAAATATATATTCTTTGATGCATGGAATATTTTATAATATTTTAAATTATGTCCACACTGCTATTGTGAAAGTAAATGAAGTAACGTGTAGGTGTTTTGTAAAGAGTCAAAACAAGGAGCAGATACTTCTCCAGGCAAAGCAGGCATGAGCTGGAACACAGACCCAGCCTTTGGATGACGTTTTATTTCTACAAGAAAGGGGGCAATAAGTTAAGGGGCTGTTTACACGGATGTTCTATGAGGAAATCAGCGCGGTGAGCCTGAGTTCTCCCTTCTTTCTCTGCCTCCTGGCTCAGGTTGTCCAGATCGGAGTCACCTGCCCAGGCTCTGGACAATGGTGACGCAGCCGTGGGAGCTGGTGCAGCGCTGCAGGGGCGGCCGGGCCTCCACCTGCCCACTGCTGGGGTCAAAGGTGAAGACCCTGTCGGTGCTTTCCCCATGGTCATCCCGCCCACCAGTGATGTGGACCTTCCCATCACACAGAGCCACGCCACAGCTCTCCTGGGTGTACAAACAGAAGGACAGTCAGCTCTGGGATCCGGTCTGGGGCTCACTTTGTCCCTAGCTGGCCAGACCAGACAGCAAAACCTTGACCACATTGAGCAAGCAATGTGGATGTTAGACCAGAAACTGGATGGAAAGCAGAAAGCTCTGGCTTGACCCTTACTGAAGGAATATTGGACAAGTCACCTAACCTCTCTGGGCCTGTTTCCTTATCTGCAAAGAAGAACAATCGTACCTTCACTAGGTTCCCTGAACAGTTAATGGGGTTGAGCATGTAAAGTATTTTACATAGTGCCTGAGGCACAGTAAGCACTCCAGTGACAATAATAATAATTAGCACCATCACCATCTTAGGCTCTCACACTTAGAGAAGTCTCAGGCTCATAGGATCACAAAGGTCATACTGGCAGGGACTACCAGTGTAACCACACCCCTATGTAGTCTCTGGAGTTTCAGGAGGTGACGAAAGGTGGGAGAGGCGAGGTATACAGGGGCCAGAGCATCCATCCAGGTCCTGGGCCTCCCTTCGCTGATATCACTGGGGCAGGGGAACTTAGCAAATTCCTTCTCCATGCTCTCCCCTCCCGTCTCTTTAGTAGCCTACCAGCTAGTGGCCTTTAGTACAGGAGAGAGTGCAAGGTCATTTAGGCCAAATTTCCCATCCAAGGCACTTGGGACTGGGGTTCCAGGCTCATTTTCGAAATGCAAGGCTGATTCTCATTGTGAGGGCAAAGCCTGAGAACCATCTAGCATGGAATCAGACACAAGACTCACTATCTCTAAGATCCAGGCCCTTAGACATGGGTCTTTCCTCTCAATGGAACCAGTGTCAGGGCCATGCCTAGGACTCTCCACTTACCACAGGGCTGGGGAGGACAGCTGCCTCCCCCCAGACATCTGTACCAGGGTGGTAGGTGAAGATTTTGCTCATGAGGCCTCCCATCACATAGATGGCGTCCTCCAGGGAGACAGCCTCAAGACATCGCTGTGAGAAAGGTGCTGGTGACCGCAGGCTCCATCTGTCCTCCTTGGGGTCAAAGCACTGCACCTGAAAGGCAGGAGGTTCAGCAGTGGTGAAGCTTCAACCCCAACTGCCGTGCTGCCCGTGCACTCTCACTTCTCTCCGCCAGGGGGACTCCTTCAGCACAGTATCTGCCTCAGCTAGTGTCTGGAAGGGCAGAGAAAACCCATTATCCCTGCCCTCAAGTCTAGTCCCACCTTCTTTCTCCTACCCCTGGACTCCCTGTATTGAAAACATTGTCATCTTTCAAGGCCCAAGGAGAGGTCTCCATTCCAGGACACGGAGATGCCCTCTGCATTAGTGCTATAGGAGTCCTCAGAGCAGGTCCCCCATGGAGATGTGTTCATGGCTGCATACATAGTCAGTCTTCATCCACCTTCCTGGTGCTATGAGGTCATGACAGAATTCCCGCTGGGGTGTCCTGTAGCTCATTACCACAGCTATGCACGTGCCTCCCCGTCCTACAGGTGCTCTAAGACACCTTTCACAGTTTCCGAGGGCTCGTGCTTGTACCTGCCTGCTCACCTTTACTTCATTTCGGTTGTTTCTTTGGAGACCCCCATTATGGCCTAAAAACCAGTCAGTGCTGCATGAGAGGGTACTGGGTACTAAATGGGCAGTTCAGCCAGTCCCAGGAAGGTATGCTGGGGAAATGGGGACAGGGGATGAGGAAAGATGAGTGAAACCTAGTTTGAGAAATTTCAAATCCCAGACCATAAGCCTGTGAGGCCATCTGGGGAAGGAGAGAGCTGCCATTATGAAGATTAATTTTTATTCACAAAAAACTAAATCAGTTTAGTAAGACTATAGCTCACCCACCAGTGGCCTATTATTACAGTTACTGAAGTGATGGCTTAGATGAGTTGCTAAGCATGTGGAAAGTGCATTCTGCTTTTTATTATTACCTGAAGAATAAGAAGCAGAGTGTGAAATTTTACTAACAGTAAGAACGCACCGACCAGTGTGGCTTAGTGGTTGAGCATTGATTCATAAACCAAGAGGTCACCAGTTCAGTTCCTCGTTGTGATACATGCCAGGGTTGCAGGCTCGATTCCCAGTCAGGTGCATGTAAGAGATAGCCAATTGATAATTTTCTCATCAATGTTTCTATCCCTCTCCCTCCCAGTCTAAAGTCAGTGATTAAAAAACAACAACAAAAAAACACCAACAGTAAGAAGGCAAAACTAAGACAGAAAATCAAAAGTCAATTTAGAGGAAGCCTGGAGGCCATGCACCTTAATATTAATAGTAATTACTATCCATAGGTGGAGGAATTATGGGTGATTTTCCCCCCTGCTTCCGGTTTTCTAAATTTTCAATAATGAGTATTATATTTTTGAGAATGGCACAAAAACTTTTTTTAAAAAAATGTTTTTATTGGTTTCAGAGAGAGAGACAGGGAGAGGGAGGTAGAAACATCAATGATGAGAGAGAACCATCAATTTGCTGTCTCCTGCACGCTCCCCCCTGGAGACCCAGCCCACAATCCAGACATGTGCCCTGATTGGGAATCGAACTGTGACCTCCTGGCTCCTAGGTTGATGCTCAGCCATTAAGCCACATCAGACAAGCTAGCAGAAAAACATTTTAATTAATCCCACTCTCACCCTCACTTAATTTTTTAAAATCTTCACCCGAGGATATGTTTATTTATTTTAGCAAGATAGGGAGATAGAAACTTGATCTTGTTCCTTCTGTATGTGCCCAGACCAGGAATCGAACCTGCTACCTTTTTGGTGTGTGGAAGGACCCTCCAACTAACTGAGACACCTCACTGAGCACCTTCACTTAATTTTTTAATCTGTAAAATCATATGGCACTGCCGAAACCGGTTTGGCTCAGTGGATAGTGTGTCAGCCTGCGGACTGAAGGGTCCCACATTCAATTCTGGTCAAGGGCATGTACCTTGGTTGCGGGCACATCCCCACTAGGGGGTGTGCAGGAGGCAGCTTATCGATGTTCCTCTCTCATCGATGTTTCTAGCTCTTCCTCCCTCTCCCTTTCTGTAAAAAATCAATAAAATATATTTTAAAAAACAACAACATATGGCACCAAGCAGCCTAAACATTCAGGCCTAGCTATGCTGCTGACCCAGTGTGTGAACTCAAACAAAACTTACTCCTCAGGGCAGTTGACGGGATTAAGTGAGAAAATGGATGAGGGCCAGAAAGTGCCACCTCAACACCAATACATAGCAGGCCTCCAGTATCCTATCCGCGCCCACCTTGTCTGTGCTGATGTTGTCTTGCCTGGCACCCCCAATCACGTAGAGCCGGCCAGCACAGGGCACCACGGCTGCTGAGCTCACGGCCTCCAGGAGCGGCTCCGCAGACTCCCACGTGTTGGAGAAGGGGTCGTAGCGCTCCACACTGCGCAGGCGCTGCAGTCCATCAAAGCCACCCACCACGAACAGCTGTGTGTGAGGACAAGGAGGTCAGGGCTGGCTCGGCTGCGTGCCAGAAGCTACCCCACCCCAGCAAAAGGGCCAGGACGAATCCCCGGTGACTGAACCTCGCATAGCAGGTTTCCTCTCACTGGCTGGGGATAATGAGAACCATCTCTGGAATGGGTGCTAAGTGTAGAACTGATCTGTAAAATACTTGACCCCAAGCTAATGCTTAAATAATAGCTGGTAAGTAAGGGTTTACTGCCTTCAATGATTCTAAGAAGCACATTTATTTGCATTTCTGAGTTGGAGATGTAGCTTACAAAGATAACTGGCAGAGACAGAGAGAGAGAGAGAGAGAGGGAGAGGGAGAGGGAGAGGGAGGAGGGAATGTGTGTGTTGGTCTTAAGTGGTAGAGTCAAGATGAAAAACTAGGCTATTGGCCCCAGAGCCCACATCCTTGATCCTAGGCTATATTATTACAGTAATTACTATTAGCATTTTGATGTGACTTTGGGCATATCCCTTTATTATTTGAGACTTCAGAGCCCTTACACAGAGAGAGGGTCTCAGAGAGGGCCTTCTTTAAGGACATCTATAGATCTAGAGGCCTGGTGCATGAGAATTCATGCACTGGAGGGGGAGTGTTCTTCAGCCCGGCCGGCCCCTCTCACAGTCTGGGAGCCCTCAGGGGTGGGAGGTGACCTGGTGATCAGGGGAAGATGATGCCCCCATCACACCTCTGCTGCTGCTGCTGGCAGCACCAGCCTCGGGCGGCCCTGGGGGGTTGGAGGACTGAGGGATTTGGGGGACTCCAGAGGCAGGCATGTGGAGCGCTGGACCCACTTGGGGGTGGGCCTGGCCGTGCTGAGCACCTGCCACCCCGGCAGGGCTGAGGGCACTGGGTGCCACCATCTCGTGGCTATGGGCGCTGCATCTTTGAGGGTGTGGTGGTCAATTAGCATATTCCCTCAGTGGTTGTAGGTGCCTCCGTCTTTGTGAGGGTGTGACGGTCAATTAGCATATCCCCTCTTTATTAGATAGGATACCCTGGGCCCCGGGAACAGCAGCTGCTGCAAGTCCCTACCTGTCCAAGCAAGGCCACCATCTTGTGCCTCCACCTGCCCTTGTGCAATGAGGCCACCTTGATCCAGGTGTGCAGATGGGAGCTAAACATCCACACATCATGGCTGTTGATGTGGCCTCCTGGGGAGAGAGAAGCAACTATTGCCCCCAGATCCAGAGGAAGAGTTAAGGGTAGATGTCAAGGACGACTTTGTCCTGAGCTGGTGGGACCCGGTTTTGCTTTGAATGAGTGGTGGCAAAGTCCGAGTTAGGACAACAGGCATAGACTTTGGAGGGGAGAGGCCTGAGAGATCAGGGAGAAGGAACACTGTGGTGTGCGCCAGGCTCTGTACTCAGGGAAGCGAAGGGGTCACTTTAGAGCTCCCTGAAGGCAAGAGTACAAAAGGTACCCAAGGCAAGAACCAGCAATACACTGGGGCAGAGAGGGCAGAGCCACCTGCACTGCGAAGGGGAGGGGTAGAGGGTGACCCAGGGTTTCTGTCTCCCTTCTGCCTTCACCTGCCTGACTTCATGTCTGCTTCATCCCTCCATGGTGTTGGGATTACGGTACCCAGTTTACAGACAGGAAATCAGATTATGCGTAAGAGGCCAGGAATGACTTGCTGAAAATCACAGGCCTGTCACTGCCAGAGCACTGATCCAAACCAGAGCTTCCAGCTCCCACGCCTAACATTTGGTATTAGTGAATGACAGCACCCTCCAGGGGGCCAGGCACTGAGGGTGCAGGCTGTGGACCTTTCCTCCCTGACTGGCATGGGGTTCCTGATTAGGGACTCACCTCTTAGGAATAGCTTCCCCAGGGACAATTCTGACGGCACCCCCTCAGCCTGAGCCGCACCTCTGTTTTGTAGGCCTTGCCTCTGTGTTTCCAGTGGCCTTAGATAAGCTGCCAGAGATAACGTGTGGCCTAGATGGTGTCTGAGGCTTTCGCCTCATTCTTCTGCTCCTTATCCTTCCCAGCCTCCCATGGCTCCTTCAACATTAAGCGCAGTCTACCTGGGCCTGGTTCCAAAGTCTCCCTGATCTGACTCCAGGCTCCCATTCCTCCCTCTCCTACCGTGGCTTCCCCTCCTCTCCCAGAGACACTCAGCCTGCACGTCAGAGCCCTGAGCACTGGGGGTTCCTCTCTGCACGTTCCTGCCTTCATGCCTTTGCCTGTGCTGTTCCCTCCAAGTCGGGCCGGATTCCCTGAGTAGGATTCCAGCTCATTTGGGATCTCTAAGTTACCATCAAATTCAGCCTGGTCATGCCAAAACCGGTTTGGCTCGGTGGATAGAGCGTCGGCCTGCAGACTGAAAGGTCCCAGGTTCAATTCCGGTCAAGGGCATGTACCTTGGTTGTGGGCACATCCCCAGTAGGAGGTGTGCAGGAGGCAGCTGATTGATGTTTCTCTCTCATCGATATTTCTAACTCTCTATCCCTCTCCCTTCCTCTCTGTAAAAAATCAATAAAATATATTTTTTAAAAAAATTCAGCCTGGTCATAAAGGGAAGTCCATTTTCCCTCTCCAGGGCACATCAGGGTAGCAGGACTGTGGTTTATTCTTTGAGACTCTAAGGCCTGAGTCTCAGGAAAGGCAGTCTGTTGGTATCAAAGCTCCTCCTAGCTTTGTCAATGTTGTGACAACGGGGAAATTCTTAACCTCTCTCAGCCTGTTTTCTCATCTGTGAAGTGGGACTGTAGAGAGAATGAATGTAAGCCTCTTAACATAATGCCTGGCACATAGTCGCTAATAAAAGAAGTGATTAATAGGCCTTGAAGCTGACTTGATTGAATAAAGGATGGAGTCACACCTGGGATTGGCTGTGCAGGACTACATACTGTTTCAGCCAATAACTAGGTTATCAAGGAAAATCCCACCCCAACCCCCTGGTTGGCGGGAAAAACCGAGGGGGCAGTGCTCAGGAGCCAGTAGCCAATCCTGTGGGGCTCCCGGTGTGGCCCTGCTCTCACCTGAGACATAGATGTCATTGCGGAGAGTGCAGGCAGCAAACTCGGAGCGCATGTAGCCAGGCAGGCTGGGCAGCGGGGTCCAGCGCTGGCTCTCCGGGTGGTAGGCGTCGGTGAAGGGCAACCTCGTAAGTCCTTTGCGGCCACAACCGCCAATGACCACAATCACTTCAGCTAGGTCCATGAATCTGGCATGGGGATAAGCTCAATCTTCACTGATCCGAGCCCAAGTTTCAGCCCCCTCATCCTCTCACTGACCACACTGCAGAGTCCTCCTGCCCGTGTCCTTCTGTCCCTCTCCTAATCCCCGTGCTAGACTCTGTCACTTCCAACCTTCTCTCTGGCCACGGATGGGACAAGGATCACTAATCCTTATCCCATTCCACTGACCAAGTTTCAGAAAGAGAGTCTTTACAACGCCTTTCACTTTACTCAGAAAAACCTCCTGGTTTAGTCTTTATGACAGTTCTAGGAGGCAGAGATTATTACTCCTTTTACAGAGGAGGAAACAGGCTAAAACATTAGGCTTGCCCAAAACCATGCAAGCCAGTAAGCAAAAGAGCTGGAATTCAAGCCTAGTCTGTCTGATGCTAACCCATTCTCCTTCCCCTTTCTGGCCTCCGCTCCCTAATTCTGCTGCCTCCCTCCTATAACTCTCCTAAACCCGCACCTTAATCACTGAGCGGGGCTACGTACCCTTTCAGCAAAGCGTTTTCCCCTCCCACTGACCCCAGAACTCACAAACTCTTTAGCCATTGGTTTCCTACTCAATTCCTATGACCAAAATGGAGCATCTTCGGACCAGGCCCTGTGCTTAGTGTTGGAAATGCCTGGTACCGTGGTAAGAGAGTGGACTTCCCTGTCTTCTATTTTGGACTACTCCACCCTTCTGGCCTGGTGTTCCAGGCCCTGCTTATTGATATCCCTTACTAGTCTGAGCTCCCAGAGTGTTGAGGGGTGTTTTCAGATCACTCTTGAATCCCGGGGACCCAGCACAAGACTTGCCCAAAGGGAGCACTCCACATTATAGACAGATGGGCAGGAGAAAAAGTACATTGGGTGTGAGCCCCCTGCAGCTCCCTATCGGCTGTTCACTCTTCAAGGACAGAATGCCCCTGTACACAGCCCCATGGTATATTTATTGAATGAATGAATGAGTGAGTGAGTGAGTGAATTTCATGTAAGAGGCATGATTGAGGATGAATTACAGAATGATGGAGCAATGAGCCAGTGACTGAATGTTGGGGGAGGAAGGGTGGTACCTCCGTGGCCGCGTGCGCAGCCCTCCGGCCTCTCGGCCCAGGATGAAGCAGGCGCGGGCCTCGAGCAGCAGCGGGCGGCACTCGCGGGAGGCGCGCAGCAGCTCGTCCGCCTCCACCTTCTGCAGGAAGTAGGCGGGCGGCAGCAGCGGCAGGCGCACGTGCTCCAGCAGGCGCCGCAGGTGCGCGCGGCGGCCCGGCGCGTCGTGGCGCACCCAGCGCAGGGCCGCCTCGAACACGGCCTCCTCGCGCGCCACGCCCAGCGCCGGGTCCGCCAGCAGCGCGGCCACCTCCCCGGGCGCCAGCTCCAGGAAGCCGGCGTGGCGGGCCGCTTCGGTGAAGTCCAGGGCCAGGGAGGGGGGCGAGGAGGAGGCCACGGGGCGCAGCGCGGGGCTGCGGGCGCGGAGGCAGCCCCGGAGGAAGCGCGCGCAGGCCTCGCGCAGGTCCTCCGCGCCCAGCCGCTCGCCCAGCTCCAGCGGGGCGGCCGCCGCCTCCTTCTCCTCTTCCTCCTCCTCCTCCACCTCCTCCTCCTCCTCCTCCTCCTCGGCGCGCATCTGCACGCCCGAACTGATCAAAGAGTCCGTCCTGGTGCGCCCTGCGCCCGGCATCTCAGGCACCACAGCCTGCCCCCGCTCTGGTCGCCCGGCCGCCGCCTGGCCGCAGAGGTGGGCGCTGCCCGCAGCTCGCTGGCACGGGGGGAGGTCGGGGCCGCCAGCGCGTGGCACCGCGCCGGTGAGGGTGCGGCTCCGAAGGGAGGCCTGGAGGGTCTGCAGGACGCGCTGCGCCTGGCAAGACCCTGGGCAGGGCGCCTCAGCAGCCCCAGGCTCCGACTCCTCCAGCAAGCGGCCCGCTAGCATCCTGCTGGGAAGGGAACAACACAGATAGCGTCGGAACATCCACCTGGCTGGGGCGAAAGAGAGGGCAGGAGGCCCCTCATCGCAGGTAGGCATGAAAGTAAGTAGTGTGCGTTCGTTCTTTCATTCATTCAACTGCTGTCCCTCCCATTCTCCCATCCAGACTCCTAATGGCTGGCTGCAGGGATCTGGAAGTCTCTGCCTACTTGAGGGGCTCCTTCCTGCCTTAGCTGTTGCACCTTCGCCCTCGCTTACTCATTGAAGCCCAATGGCCCTGCCTGCGCTCCAGATTCGCCAAGCTGTTTTCTGTTAGTATTGATAAAACACAGCTGGCACGCTTTCATACGGGGTATCTTGTAGAAGGGTCTGATAAAGGAATGATTTCAAACGTGCAGAACGTATTCAGAGACTCTACCACAAAGGATGCAGCAGTGCCACGTGGCTCCAACTCCAGAGAGTTTCCCCTCTCCCAAGGTTTGGAGGGCTGGGAACCTGTACAGAGTATCTGTATCAGGAAGGGCCCCTTAGGAACTGTAGCCTTTGGTCAAGGAATTCAGGCCACCCCCACAGAGACCCAGTGAATGTGGAGGGGTATACCTCTACCTCCCTCTCCTCACCCCATCTTGTCTCCTGCCCATCTCCTGTAGGTGCCCCTTCCCCAGCACCATAGGATCGGGCCCAGAGTGGGTGCTCAGTACCTGTTCAAGGTCTAGTGAATGTGTTAAGTATGTGTGGAGCACCTTTTCTCTGCCAGGCAGTGAGCAAGGCAATCATGGCTCCTGCACTCGAGCTCATAGCTTGGTGGTGATGGGGGTGGGGGTGGAGGTGGGAAGTACAGAACATTAGGAGCACTAAACACAGTGGAGGGGAGAGTCAGGGAAGGTAGCCCCTGAGGAGACTTAGATTCTGCCAGGTGAAGGGAGGGGAGTGGAGGGAGAATGTCTCCAGCTGAGCAAACAGCTGTGCAAAGGCCCCCGGGGAAGGAGATAGAAGGGAAGCTCTCTGCTGCCCAGGAAGCGTCCTGGAGAAGTAGGAACGGGTTGGCTCTAAGGACTGATGTGGGTTCTAATCCTGCCTCTGACACTGACTCGGCGTGACCGGTGCACATTCCCTTCGGTCTCCTCACGGGAAATGAGATCATGAATGCCCGCCTCTCAGGGTGGTTGTGACTTTATGACTCTTAACTAGAACGTATGGAACGTGCTAGGTGCATAGTACAGACCCAATGGTGTTTGCATTGCTTTTGCTTTATTTATTTATTTATTTATTTTAACCTAAGAGGAAGGGAGCACACTTGGTTGTGCCTTTTTGGTCTATAATTTCATTGGATCCTCACAACCCTGGAAAGTTTGTCATGTGGAGGCAAGTACACGGGCACATGCCTTTCGGAGGCTGCTGTGAGGATCAGAGGAGGGGTGACTGTGAAGGCATCTGCAGACGGAAGGGCTGTATTGTGCCCGTCATGATCTGGCCATTAGGAACGTACTGCCTCTGCACACCTCCAGGGACAGGGAGCTCCCTCCTTTAGGCAGTAACTTACTCTAGAGGAGCACAGCTCTGGGCATGCCCTTGCCTCCCCCTTAATTCTCCTGATCCTGATCCCAGGTGCTCTCCCTCCTCTGAGACCACTCTGCCCTGGAGATCAGATTTGCCCAGTGCCAGCCTGGCTTTCAAGGCTCCTGCCCAGGTCACACAAGGCGATGGGCCGCCTGCCTCAGAATCATGGTAAAGGAGCTCTCTGGTGGGCAGGGTTCTGGGAAGCTAACTTTGCCCACGTATCATAGAAGGCCCGGGCCCTGCACCTGGCTCCAGACTGTGCCCAGCAGCTCAGCCACACGTGCTAGAGTGAGGGCATGTCCCAAGGAGCAGCCCCAGAGCAGCCGAGGGCGGTGAGAGGCTGAGAGCGTGCTGCCCATTCTGTCCTCTCTGAAATGAGAAAGCAGCCACCCTTGGAGCTGAGATGCAAGTGAGCAGGTCTCAGCCTGAGGAGGGGCTTATCCCCGCAGAGATGTCCTAGGGCAGTGGTCTGCAAACCTCGGCTCTCGAGCCACGTGCGGCTTGCGAACCTCGTTTTGCTGCTCTGTTAACCAATGAGTTTGCTGACCACTGTCCTATACTCACTCCCCTTTACCTCTTTGCACAAAATATGCCACAATTGCCTAATCCTCACAGCTTCCAATACACAGTAACCTTTAGTCGCTGTGGTTTGCCGACCGCTGTCCTAGCAATAAGGGTTTTGGGGAAGGGCTTCCTCTCCTGGGTAGTGCACCAGTATTTGCTCATTCTACAACTCATCTGCTCTGGGCACTGTGGGCACACGGAACCTCAGACACAGTTTCCACCCTGGGGATTCCCACTCGGGGCTGAAGGGCGCCCAGTGGGAACATTCTCCCATCCCGCCAAGAGTCTAGGCATCTCAAGCTATAGGTCCTGATGCAGCCTGAGGCACCCAGCCCTTAAGAGTTGGCACACCACCCTGCCTCTTTGTCACCCCACCCCCACTCATACAAACATGCTTAGCTTGTGGACACCACACAGTCAGGGCAGCCCTGGTCCTAAGCACTTACCTGGCCATGTCCTTTCCCGGGGGCCCTGAAGCTGCTGCTCTTGCCCCGACCACTCCCGTGTGTCCTGCCGCCTGAACCCCTGGCTGCCTGGGCTCCAGTGTCTCCGCTGCTCTGGCTGCCTGGGCTCCAGTGTCTCCGCTGCTCTGCCTAGACTGCCACTCGGGCTCAGCTGCAGGAGGACAAAGGGGCTGGGCGCCAGGGGGCGGGGGAAGGAGGGTGGAGGGAAAGAGGGGATGCTGGGTTTTTGTTCCACTCACTCTTGGACGAGCCCTGGAAGGGAGGGAAAGGGGGAGGAGGGAGGAATGGGCATGGGATTGACTCTGTGCCTGGTTTGGAGTGACTTGGCACGGACTCTGCGCCTGAAGGATGCACGGTTGTGAGGGCGGTGCCTCTCCTGGGAGATGGTTACAGCCTGGTGGCAGTGAGCTTCCAGGGGTTCCCGGGCACTTGTATGAGACTGTGGGACTCAGTGGCTGCGTGGCATTGGGGAGAGTATAACCTGGTAGCTGCAGGCGTGGCTAAGCATGTGACTGCATGGCGTGAAGGTCTAGCTTTCCTTCATGCCGGTGTGACTGTGCCATGTCTGTATTCCTGCTGAGAGCAGATGTCACTGTGGGACCATGCATCTGGTTATATGCCTGGTGTGTGTCCCTGTCTCTGTGTCCCTGTGATTGTTTATTTGTGTGTGTGGCGGGTGTATCTCTGTGGGCAATGTGTGTATGACAGGGGTCTCTGTCTGTGGACCATGTCATGCGTGTGAACATCCTATGGTCCTCTGTGAAATGGTATGAGTTGAGGTTTTCGCTCAAGAATGTACCTCCCTTGGAGGGGACGGTAGGACTGGTGTGGGGATTTTGGACAGACCTGGTGGGGGTGGAGAGGAGGAGGCAGCTGTGGGCTGGGCTGGCCTCCGGGAGCCAGAGGGAAGCGACTGCATAGACTGGTGCCAGGTCACTTGCTGCCTCTACAAAGGGCCCCAGGGCCTGGTGTCCGTGGGGTGGACGGACAGAGTTGGCTTCACGGAAAAGGACAGCAGTTTGGAAGGAGGTTGCTTTGACTAGAGCACCCATGGGCCTGGGGCACCTATGGTCTGTCCTGGCGGATGCTTTGACATGTTCCAAAGCCCCAGACCAGCCCCGCCTTTGGCCCTGGTCTCTCATGTTGGCAGGAGGGGTCCTCCAGATTCCAGCTCTGTTTACAGAAAGCCTGTGCCGTGAGGAGGCCCTCAGGCCCGGTGTTGCGGGAACCCACTCTGGCCAGGCTGAGGCGGCCCGGTCTGATGGGGGGGGTCCCTGTGGGGGTGGCCCGGTATGTGTCCTGAGGTCTTGGAGAGAGTGTCCCGAGGGCCCTTCTCCAGGGAATGGTGTAGCCCCCTTCCACCCACAGATAGGGTGGCCTGTGTTACTGTCCGTTAAAGGATGTGAGAGATCAGGCACTTGTTAAGAACGTTATTTATTCTTTATTCCCATCCTCCACCCCCTCGCCATTGGCAACCATCAGCGTGTTCTCTATATCTGTGGGTCTATTTTTGTTTTGCTTATTTGTTTGGTTTTTTAAGATTCTACCTGGAAGGGAAATTATACAGTTTTTGTATTTCTCTCTCTGACTTATTTCACTGAACATCATCCATCCAGGTTGTTGCAAATGGCAAACTTTATTATTTTTTATTGCATAATATTCCATTGCATATATGTACCACATTTTCTTTATCCATCAATTGATGGAAATTTAGGTTGCTTCCATATCTTGGCTTTTACTATTAATGCTGCAGTGAACATAGGGGTGACTATATATCTTTTTGAATTAGAATTCTTTTTGTTTTCTTCAATAAATACCTAGAAATGGATTTGCTGGATTGTATGGAAGTTCTATTTTTAATTTTTTGAGGCCACTCCATACTGTTTCCCATAGTGGCTGCACTAATTTAAAATCCCACCAGCAGTGAATAAGGGTTTCCTTTTCTCCACATCCTTGCTAACTCTTAATGTTTGTTATTTATTGGTGATAGCCATTCTGACAGGTGCGAAGTGATATCTCATTTTAAATGTGCATTTCCCTGATGATCAGTGACCTTGAGCATCTTTCCATATGACGGTTGGTCATCTGTATGTCCTCTTTGAAGAAATATCTATTCAGGTTCTCTGCCCATTTTTAAATCAGTTTGATTTTTTTTGTGTGTATGTGTGTTTTTGTATTGTATGAATTTCTTATATATTTTGGATATTAACTACTTGTCAAAAGTGTCATTTGGGAAGATCTACCATTAAGTGGGGGTGTCTTTTTGTTTTGTTGATGGTTTCCTTTGTTGTGCAAAAACTTTTAGGTTTGATGTAGCCCCATTACTTTTTTCTTTTGTTGCCCTTACCCAAGAAGACATATCCAAAAAGATATTGCTAAGAGTAATGTCAAAGAGTTTACTGCCTATTATGTTTTCTT